TATTTATTCATCTGTCTATTCGAGAAAGCAATCTTTTGTAAGGAAAATGAGTAATGCTAAAAAGAAGCACTAGAGAGGCGTGAATTGAATGTCGAAAGAATGAATCCACATCCTCTCTTCGTTAACAACCCAGTATCATGCAGTCATCACTGTCGCAGTCAAGTCAAATTCAGCGTGTGTGATATCGTCTTCAGTCTGTTTGGCCTTGTTCCCAATGTGCTTATGAGTTACCAGGCATCTCATGCAGTCGAGGTGAATAACTGTTATGTAATATAGGGACCAGAGATGGATATCACAGAATTTTGCGCCATAATGGGAAAATCATCTTTCGGAGCATTGAGGAGTCACTGTTGCTCGTGGGGCCAATCATTATCTGTGTAAAATAGGCATTCTATTTTTTTTTTCTTGTTCTTTTCTTTAACTTTGAACTTTTCTGCGGCTGCTTTAAAATTGAACGATATTTGCGACTGATATTTTAAACACGTAACGACGCTTTGAGTTTTTGAATTTTACACTGAAACATACTTAAGCTTTTCTGAGTCAAATCAAGCTAGTTTTGCCATGACAAATAATTTTGTACTAAACTGTTGACATTTAAATGTCTATAAAACAATATAAATGAAAAATAAGCTTTCCTCAACAAGTTCGAACCGGCCTTCATCTGTGGTTTTGCTGCGGTCTCAATAATCAAGTCCTTATCACGTACAATTCCAAGGTTTAAGCTATTGTTGTCCTAAGGCGTTACTGAGTTTTCTGTATACAGTTCTGAAACTCGTCGCATGATATTTTATGGTTCGAGAGAAAAGTGCGCTTCAACTGGGTTGATTGACAACAAAATATTTTTTTTCCGGTTTTATATCTTATATGGCTCAGCTTATCTCAGCTTAGTAACCACCTCCCGTAATCGAGACTTCTTGACTAATTAAAATGAAGGATTCTCCTATCCACCTCTGGACCTTATACATAACAGAAATATTACCTTGGCTAGAGGCTGCGGACGTTGAACTACCGGCACCTGTTGTAGGAGCTGCAGTGGTCGCTGTTCCAGTAGGAGTTGCTCCGGCGGTAGCTGCTCCGGTGGTAGATGCCCCGGCGGTAGATGCCCCGGCGGTAGATGCCCCGGCGGTAGATGCCCCGGTGGTAGATGCCACAGTGGTAGATGCCCCGGCGGTAGATGCTCCGGTGGTAGGCGCTCGGGTGGTAGAAACTGCAGTTGTAGAAGCTGCAGTGGTAGAAGCTGCAGTGGTAGAAGCTGCAGTAGAAGAAACCCCACTGGTAGGACTGCCAGTGGTGGGTGTTCCAGCAGTTGCTGCTCCCCTTGGAACACCTGGAGATTTACTTGGAGTGGCAGTTGTAGGTGTTGCAGATGTAGCTGCAATTATTGCAGTTATTGCATGAAGTTGAACATAATGTAAGTAATTATCACGCCAAGGTTAGGGGAACAGACCTCGATGCGGAAAGTTGTCGAGTTTTGGTAGCAACGAAATTTGCATAACTACTTCACCCGACCCGTTTTGAATGACGAAAATTAGTACTTTATTTGTTACAAAATAGTTAAAACGTTATGACTTATAAATTAAGTTATTGTAGGTAAGTGGCTGGGATAAAAATTTAATTTCAAATGATATACTTTAGTTTAAATTAGACGTTAAACCAAAAATAAGCCTTTCTCTCTACATGTATGAAATCCTGATAAAGGCTACATAGGGGTGGCGAATGGTCCTTGACTCTGGGTCTCACAAAATTTTAGTCAAATTTCACTGGTCTCGCAGTCTCATTTTTTAGCGGTTATGTGCGTCTCGCAGTCTCGATTTTTATTCGAAGCTGTCTCGGAGTCTCGATTTTCGCAAGGCTAAGGGTCTCGAAGTCCCGATTTGTTCGTTTATCTGCTTTTTCCAATGACGTCTTCTCGTCACTTCATGATATTGAATTTCAATGAAGCAACTTACAAATTTCCAAGAAAAAGTTAATCCTAACTTCTCCCAAATTGTTTGAATTCCACAAAAAGCTACAAAACCTACCGCAACGTCAACGATGGTGCCAGAAAAACAGTTATTTTGTTTTGGGATATCATAAAGTAGTGTGTTATAACCGAATTTCCAGTTCCAGTCAGTTCCAAGAAGCTGGCTTAAGGCTGTACAAGCTCATTCTAGCTCTCAACTAAATCTGGGGCTCGAGTTTTAAGAGTCTAAACGTCTTACGCTCGCACTCAAAACACAGTCTCGGTGTCGCAATCTAAAAAGTCAAAATGTTCTCAGGCTTGCAGAGAAAAACGCTCGTCTCACCATCTCGCAAAGTCTCGTATTCACCATTCACCACCCCTTACATAGTATTATATTATAGCTAATCATTAAAGAAACCGCTGCAGCCCAATGTAAGGCTGGTAAGAGTCTATGTCCACCTCAGCTAAAGTAGAGGCCTCTACTTGCAGACCACCGCAGCTCTATAGCTGAAGAAATACCTGACCGCAGATACTTGGTTGCACACCATTAAGGGATTTGTCAGTTGGCTTGAATAGCTGCTTGAATTTTCCTTGTACAGTAATGTTTATTTGTTGTTGTTGTTTTTCCAACCAAGTACGTAACGATATGGTCATCATTACCATCATATAAACTGAGAAGGTCAAGCCTCAGGAAGCGCGATTTTGTCGCTTTTGCAATTTAGTAACAAGATTTGTGTTCTAGTTTCCCCCAAACAAACCATTAAATTGTATCTGTGCTAATGCAACTGTAATACCACGCAGTGTTTCAAATATAAGGAGAGACTTAATTTAACTTCAATTTCTTTAACATGCCAATTCCCAGAGGCGTTTTGCCAATTAGTACCATACAAGATAAAATTTTCATTTATATACGCTTGCACCGAGAGACTTGTTTAATGCAACTAACTTTACAGGTGTAAGAAATTCATAATATATATTAATTTGCATCATTGTAGAGCTTATAGTTAAATTCGTCATAGTATGGGCTTTTCCACTTGAGGGCCAACCTCGTTCCCAAGGTCTCTCATCTTACCGCCCCCTGGAGCGAGCGAAGAGAGACCCTGGTTGGGTCTGGTCACGTGTCTCCCAGAATCTGGGAG